ATAAGTACATTAGGTTAGGCAGGCGTCCATCCACGTCGCCCACTCTGACTAGCCACCCTTGGCTGTTCATTTGCAGCCCCCCGCTGCTGTACGTACGGGTACCGCCGTACGAAGATCGGGAGCGGGTGCTGTTGACCGTGCTTTCGATGGAATTTGGCCGTTGCGCGGACTGAGCAGCAGGTGATCTCCGTTGCGAGTGCCGAAGTCGCGGCACGCCGCGTTCAAACAGTACATCCCGCCCTCTGTGTTCGGGCTGGGGTGTTCGAGCCCTCCCTCGAACGTGGCTATCATCTGTCCGAGGCCGGTCGCCTTGCACGCGACTTTCGCCACCGAGTTTCGAATCGCTTCAGCGCGTGTCACCTGAAAATGCACAAAAGCGCTGTCACCGCCCCCGTTCCGCGCACCCCCTGGACTTGGTCCATTTCTCAGTCCTAGAACCCGAAACCCTAAACCCTAGGAGCTTAATGCCTAATCCCTAAACCGTCATCCCTAAAACCCTAGACTAGAGCTGACACCAAAAACCCTCAACTCGGAGCCTAAGCCCTAATCCCGGCACTGTACTCCCAAAAACCCGGAACCCTAGTCCCTAAACCCTAAACCCTAAACCCGGAACCCTAGTCCGTAAACCCTAAACCCTAAACCCTAAACCCAAAACCCGGAACCCTAGTCCCTAAACCCAGTTTCCCCCATTGATGTCCTCGACCTCAACCTCGGGTTTCAAAAAACCTAAACCTTAGCAACCCGAAAACCGGTTTAGGGTTTCAGGTTTTGGGTTCAGGGTTTATGGTTTAGGGTTTAAGGTTTAGGGTTCAGGGTGTAAGGTTTAGGGGGTTTGAGGTTTAGGGTTGAGGGTTTAAGGTTTAGGGGGTTTAAGGTTTAGGGTTCAGGGTTTAAGGTTTAGGGGGTTTAAGGTTTAAGGTTGAGGGTTAAAGGTGCAGGTTCGGGGCCAACCTAAGACTCAGATCCCGCGAACAACGGACGTTCACACGGCTCCTCCCAATTGTGGGCTTCGTCCTCGCAGTGGGACTTACGGTTCGGGCTTAAGCACTATATACTGCATTATGAAACTAAACTCTAAACCCTAAACCCTAAGCACTATATACTGTACCCTAAACCCTAAACCCTAAACCCCCCCAAAACCCTAAACATAATTATGAAACTCAGGTTGGGAGCTTGCATCTCATCGACTTGTCGAGTTTTTGCGCCCTCAAGGTCTAGGCGAAACCTCAAACAGACAACACCTGCCTTCCGCTTTTTCATGACCCAGAAGACCCTAAACCCAACTTAGACTTAGCCCCAAGCCTAGAAGCCCAAAGCCCCGAACCAGGGAGGTTCGATGAGTTGTTGTCTTCGACTTGGGTTTTGAGGTTTCGGGTTTTCGGGTTAAAGGCCTAAGGTTTGGGGTTCACAAAGGCATAAGGGTTTCAGGCTGTATAGCTGAGGCGTGAAGTGGCAGGGGCTGGACGTTTTCGAAGGGAGTGCAAGAGTTGAGGGGGTCGGCGAGAGCTCCAATCAAGCAATACTTCGCATCAGGGGGGTGAAGCTATGGACAAGAAGCAGCGGAAAGGACTCCTTACACAAGCAACTTGGCTACCGCTGCCTATCCATTGGCTTCTTTCTCGATCACTCGACCTATTCTGTTGTACACATCTCTTCCCACTACCCTAAACCCCATAGACCCTAAACCCTGAAACCTAAACGCTAAACCCCCCTAAACCGTAAACCCCATAGACCCGAAACCCTAACCCCCCCTAAACCCTAAACCCCATAGACCCTAAACCCTAAACCCCCCTAAACCTTGAACCCTGTAGACCCTACACCCTGAACCCCCCAAAACCCTGAACCCTATAGACCCTAAACCCTAAACTCCCCGCTTGAACCCTATAGACCCTACACCCTGAAACCTTAACCCAAAGCCCCTCTAAACCCTAAACCCCCATAGACCCTAAACCCTATTTTTGTTAACCCTAAACCCTGAAACCCCCCTAAACCCTTAGCCCCTCTATAGACCCGAAACCCTAAACCCTAAACCCTAAACCCCAAACACTAAACCCTAAACCCTAAACCCTAAACCCTAAACCCCTCCCAAACCCCCCTAAAATAGACCCGAAACCCTGGCCCTGAACCCGGGGCCATGCCCGGTCCAGGTTGATCGCGCCCCTGGGTTCGGGGATGGGGATGTGTCAAGGGAAGGAGGGCCTTAAAAAAAAAAAAGACTCTTGGGGTTTAGGGTTTAGGGTTTAGGGTTTAGGGTTTAGGGTTTAGGGTTTAGGGTAACTAAGTAGGGTAACTGTACTTATACAACTTTGTTATACCGGACCAAAGGAGGGACCCTTAAAGGGACCCTTGGGGTTATATAGGGGCCTTATGAGACTATATAAGGGGTATACAAGGGTTATATATAGGGTATTTGGATTAGGGGTCCCATCCCTCCTACTGTCCCTTCGGTCAAGCAGTCGAGACTTCAGCATTACGACTTCGATGCTGCAGATGAAACTGTTGGGATTCTTGGCTAAGGCGTTTAGGGTTTAGGGTTTAGGATTGTTCAGGGTTCAGAGTTCAGGGTTTAGGGTTTTCGGCGGGGAAAGGGTCTTAATGGTTTGAAGGGGGTTTTGAGAGACCAGTCCTATACTGTAATCACTATAGAACGCCCTCAGGGATAATGTAAAGCGAAATTCAGCGTTGATTCTGTGATGTTAATCGATGAAGATTTCGGATTGGCGCGTGCTTGAATTAGGGTTTAGGGTTTAGGGTTTAGGGTTTAGGGTTTAGGGTTTAGGGGTTTAGGGTTTAGGGTTTAGGGTTTAGGGTTTAGGGTTTAGGGTTTAGTTGTCAGTGCTCAGGCAGCCATTGCCATGGGTGTGAAGGATGGGAAGCCTTCGACAACAGTCCTCAACAACGAAGCAGTCAAGATGTTCTCCAAATGCCTAAACCCTAAACCCTAAACCCTAAACCCTAAACCCTAGACCCTGAACCCGAAACACTAGACCCTAAACCCTAGACCCTGAACCCTAAACCCTAGACCCTAAACCCTAAACTCTAAACCCTAGGCACTAGACCCTAAAGCCCTAAAACCAAAACCCTAAACCCTAAAACCCTAAATTCTGAACCCTAAAACCCTAAATTCTGAACCCTAAAACCCTAAATTCTGAACCCTAAAACCCTAAATTCTGAACCCTAAAACCCCAAATTCTGAACCCTAAAACCCTAAACCCTAAACCCTAAAACCCTAAGTTTGGGAGCATCAGGATGCCCTTACTTAGAGAACCCAATACCCCTTAACCTCCAAGTATACCTTAAATCACAATATCAGGGCCCCTACACTTTAAGGTATATTCCTTAATTAAGGGGTATTGGATTCTCTGGGTACCTAAACCCTAAACCCTAAACTTCCTAAGCCCTAAAGCCCTAAAACCCTAAGTTCGGGGTTCTCTCCAATACTTACAGCGCTTTCTTAGACTTGACCGCAAAAAAAAACGCGCGAAAGCGAACCTTCCAACTTGGGAACCTCCACACTCCCGGGGGGTTATATAGGGTTTAGGGTTTAGGGGTTTAGGGGTTTAGGGGTTTAGGGTTTGGGGTTTAGAGACAAGAGTTTAGGGTTGTAGGGTTTGGGGTCTAGGGTTTAGGGTTTAGGGTTTAGGGTCCCCCTTTTCTATCCTCTTCAGCAACCAGGCCCCAAAAAAGTTCAAACTTTTTGGGACAGACCTAATATGTAAGGCCAACAAGTTTCAAGTTCTCCTATCGGCTAACTAAGTTTTGCAGTTCCCTAACTTGGTGTCCCTTTTAGGGGGTTCCTTAAAGTATAAAGGGATCTATAATTAAGGATTTCTAGAAGGGATCTACAAGGGTAGTTCTGTAAATTAAGGTCCCTTTTAGGGTCCCTTTTTGGGGTTCCTTAAAGGGATCTATAAGGGTGTCTTTAACTTAAGGGTTCTAAAAGGGTAGTTCTCTAAATTAGGGGGCCCCTTTTTGGGGTTCCTTCAAGGGATCTATAAGGGTTCCTTTAAGGGTTCTAAAAGGGTACTTCTCTATATTAGGGTCCCCTTTTAGGGTCCTTTCTAGAAGGGTGCCGTACTAAATTTGGGACGTGTGAAGGGGAGCCTAATTTAGAGAACTACCCCGCATGGGCGGAATCAGTGGAGCTTGTACTTGGAGGTTCATGGGTAGGTATAAGGGGGTTTACAAGTCCCCTAATATGGGTTTTAAGTAGAGACACCCGACTTATAACCCCATTTATAGCTACCCATGAACCTCCAAGAATGCCTGACAGGCCAGAAGCCCACGATGATGCAGCCCTATACTATAACATAGGTTTAGGGTTTAGGGTTTAGGGCTCTATAACATAATGTAGGGGCCTTCATACTTAGAATATGGTTTTGGGGTATATTATTCTGTAATTATAACAAGGAACCCCCAAGATAGTATAGGTAATTATTAAGGCCCCTACATCATACTATAACATACATTCTTTCGCTGTAAAACCATGTACTATACGACCATGCCTATCAAAAGTGCGAGATTGACGGCGGAGATGTTGGTCCGGGAGTGGGTGGAGAGCTTGGAACAAGGCCGGTGCCCCAAGTTCATCTCTGACTGCATCTCCACGGTAAACCATCCTGCCTTTATGCATCGAAGCACAGCTGGATGCACAGATCTTCGCTTGCCTGTAACGGGCACAATGACTATCACCCGGAGTCTGGGAGAAAGCCGAAGGAATACCCTTGACTGACCGTGTATACATGCTGGAAATCGTGTACCCAGACAACCCAATACCCCTTAGCTCAGGAATAGACCTTAAATCATATTATTAGGGCGGTATTGGGTTCTCTGGGTATCGCATATCTACCAGGCTTTGTCCCCTTCCGCTGGAATCAAGTGCCCTAAACCCTAAACCCTAAACCCCAAACCCCTTAACTTTACGGTTTCTTCTGGGATTAATTATAATGAGTTCGAGCTTCCGATCTCGGAGGCTCTGGGCAGCCCTACAGCGGCCATCCTTCGGAAAGAGCAGGTGGCAGACTTAAGTTTAGGGTTTAGGGTTTAGGGTTTAGGGTTTAGGGTGACCATTAAGGCCTGTAGTCCCAAACGGCTGGGACCTCCTTGATGACCAACAAGCGTTGCCATCAACGTTTTGGGAGAAGGGAAAACCCTAGGGTTTAGGGAGTTTAGGGGTGCTTCGATCATAAACCCTAAACCGAGCCCTAAAAAAAAACCTAAGCCCGAATTCGAACGAACGTGCAATCAGTCATGCCGAGTTTCTCGGAGGTCATGAAGGAGAGGGACGATGGAAAAACGGTCCTTCCGGCGGTGGTTTAGGATAGTTAGGGCCGTAAAGCTTTAGTTGTGTGGCGTCGGTCGAAAGTAATGTAGGGGCCTTAATATTTAGAACTTGGTTTTGGGGCCA